AAATGGTGTCATTTCCCTCTTCGTTGGGCCTGTTTTTATCTTTTTCTTTGCCCAGGGACTCCTCTCTAATTTTGATTTCTGTTTTTTATCCATGAGAAAAGACTTTCCACCAGCAGAGAACTTTCACGTGTGCATTTTGTCAAGTGCGCGAACATGAAATTGTCGCGAGTATTCCCCCAGGGGGTTCGCCCATTTACGAGATTATGACACCCTCCTGATTTAGGAAGCCTTCATTATTTATGGCGGGGGGAGGGCTGGCAAGAATAATGGGGGTCATTATAAATTCAGGAACTAAGATGGGGGGTCATTAGAAAAATTTCGGAATGATGTAGGGGGTCAAAAGCTTTTTGTTGTTACATATCATCTACAAATGTGGGTTTAAGTTTGTAGAACATTTCTAATACCCGCCATACAAGATATAGGGAACAATAGCTAACTTTGCATACACTGGAAAGCTATTCTTCTTCAAGCTATAATAATGTTTATTTCAAAAACTATATTACAAGATTGCAGTGAAGGCGAGCTAAGTGTAATATTTACAATAGCATTAACAATAAAAAAACTAATAAAAAGGGATAACAATGATGAGATGTTCTAAGTTCTAAGTTATTTACAATTATATCATATAGACTAGCCATGAGTTTTTGGCACGATAGGGTTAGGGTTGGCAAGCTATAACTGTAGTGGGGCAGCAAACACAGAATATTAGAAATACACGAACTGGTCTCGGTCTCTAGAAAACGATATGCCAGTACTACGTCCAGACCGAGTTCGACTAGTCATTATTATGTTACCCATTTTGTATTAACTTTAGATTTTAAACTCTAAAACTGTATTGTTCAGGTGTTTTTGCAATAAAATTCAATATTTGAAAGATATTTTTCACTTCTTTTAACCTAGCTGCTTTGATAGTCCTAGGGGGGGAGGGGGGCTAGCTATGTTTGCAATTACAACTAGAGGGGCCATGACATTTTTAATTCTTATAGAGCAGGGTCAGGATATTTTTTTTAGTCTCACTGAAAATCTTGGCAGCCCACCCCCTCCCATAAATAATGAATGCTCCCTTATTAACTTTTAAATGAAAATACGTTTTCCTAAATAAGCCTCTGAAGGTGGGAAGTAATCTTCTAAAGAAAATAAGATAATTTAAATAATTGATTAATATTGGGGGAGTGTTGGTGGGAAGGAAGGAATTAGCAGCAAAAAAAACCTCATCTATTAACGCAATAGTACATTGGAAAGCGTAGGTAAGAGAATATTGACTGTTAACAAAGCAGGTAAAAGTAGAGTTTTATGAAACGTGCTTTAGGAAAGACGCTTATTTTTCTATAAAACAAAAGTCGAGCACATTCCTGGAAACAATAGCCTTCATGAATATCTTCGCCTTAAAACATTCCTGCCTGCTAAGATAATTATGGAAGGTTTAGTTTTTAACAGTTTTCCTGGAATGATCGATTTGGTAAGGAAATTTATTCCTAAATTCTGGCATCGAAAAATAAAACTGCTTCCCGCCAAAAGTATGAGAGCGGGAAACGTTACAAAATCTATGACGTCAGAAAGTAGCAGTATCAACAAATTTTCGATTTGTTTTCGTGTCCTCGAATGTCTTCGTTGTGCTTTATGACAAATCACTTAACAAGTAGTCTCCCGCTAAATAATTTATTTTGTTCCTTTCATTTTTTTACGCCTCGAGGAATAAATAATTTGTTTCTCTGCATGAACACCAATCGTTAAATGAAGTGGTTATTCTTACCTTTGTAGCGTGGCTCCCACGCGCGCGAAGCGCGCGTCAAGCAGAGCCCCATACCCATGGAATATGGTCAACCTCTTTTCGTTTGGTTGTCACGTGACTGACCGAGGGTACGTACGTACGTGCCCTCTGTCATGTATGCCATCACGAAAGTACCACATGATCAAATTTTGAAAATATGGCGTCTGCGCGGCCGACCCTCAAAATTTTCAGGTCGGACTTTTCGTTTATTTGCGGTCCAGTTAGACTTTGAGGAACTCAGAATGTAAAGTAACAATGCTAT